AAATTATGGGAGACAATTATAAATTGTAAAATTCAAAATCCAACCCAAATTCAAAAATCAAAATCCAATCCAAATTCAATCAAACACAAATCCAACAATCAAAATCCAACCCAAATTCCTAAAAACCCAAATTCCATCAAACCCAAATCCAACAATTAAAATCCAACCAAGTTCGATAAAACCAATTCAACTCAAAATCCTTTAACCCAAATCTAACCATTATAACCCAAGCCAAATTCCATCAAGCCCAATCCAACGAATAAAATCCAAACCAAATTCCATCAGACCCAAATCCAACAACTCAAGCCCAACCCAAATTCTTTCCAACCCAAATCCAACAATTGAAATCCAACCCAAATTTCTTCAGACCCAAATCCAACAATCCAAATTCCTTAAAACCCGATCAACCCAAAACCCAAATCCAACAAATAAAATCTAACCAAAATCCATCAATTAAACCCTAACACAAATTATATCCAACCCAAATTCAACAATTAAAATCCAACCCAAATTACAACCTAACCAAAATTCCTTCAAACCCAAATCCAACAATTAAAACCCAACTCAAATTTCTTCACAACAATTAAAACCCAACCCAAATTTCTTAAAACCCGAACCCAACAATTATCCAACCCAAATTCCATCAAACCCAAATCCAATAATCCAAATTCTTTAAAACTAGTTTAACCCAAATTGATTGTAACCCAAATCCAACAATTAAAATGTGGTATTACACAAAACCAAAGAGTTAAAATCATGAATTCTAAAATCAGATGTCTACTTTAATCTTCCAAAAATCAGAGATATTATATTTAAATAATAATATTAAATATACATTTTTTATTCCAAACTATACCATTTTCTCTATCTCTTCGTCTTCTCTCACTTCGTCTTCTCTCTGATCACCCTCCCTAGTTGCGCCAATGTTCTCTGTCTCGACAACTTCTCTCCTTCGTTGCACAACAACCATTCATGGCGTTGTCACTACTCACAGCATCGCTGGCCAGAAGAAGTGTGAATTGTCGTCACCGTCCCCAAAGATCGAAGCGAAGCTCGTGTTTGTGAGCAGTGTGCGGCGCTCACAGGGACCGTAGGACGCCTCCGAGCTTCACTTGCAGCTTGGTGCGATGCGTTTGATGCCAACGTTTCTCTATGGCCGCTGCAGATCTGTTTTTGTGCGGTGGGTGGGTGGTGTGATATTGTGGTTGTCTGCGGTGACCGGTGGCTAGGAATGGTGCGATAAATGGTTATATACGGTGATTGTGCGGTGGTTATGATTTGTTCATTTTTGTTAGATCTAGCGGTGGAGTGGGTTTCGACGGTAGTAGAAGAGGTGGTACTGGCTGCGGTAGCAGCGACTTTGGCTGTGCTAAAAATTATGACCATGACTTCCAATTGTGACTTAAAATTGGATATGTGACCTAAAAATTGTGATTGTGACTCCCAATTGTAACTCACAATTTGGTAGTCACAGTTGGTCGTGGTGGTGGTTGTGGTTGTGGTGGTTATGGCGGTTTTGTTGATTGTGATTCACAATTAAATACGTGACCTAAAAATTGTGATGTGAATTGTAAGTGTTGGTAGTGGTCACAAATTATTTGGTTAACTGTGACCATTAAATTGGTTAATCCGTGACTAATGAAAAAGATAAATTGTGACCGAAAAATAATATGTGACCTAATAAATTGTTGATCTGTGACCGATAATATGAGACTATATAATAATTTGTGACTTGTAATATTTGTAATTTGTGACCAATAAATAAATCGTGACTTATAAATTTTTCAATTTGTGACCGATGAACAAACTGTGAATTATAAATTTTTTGAATTGTGATCGTAAAATAATTTGTGAAATAAAATTTTTGATTTGTAACCAAAAAATAATAAGTGACGAATTAAATCGTTAATTTGTGATC